ATAGAGAACAAGAGAGGGATGGAACAGTGATATTTTTAATTCCTAGTCAAATAAAAAACATACCATCCCACAAAGTGCTGACAAGACTAAGTGGAGTGTGGGTGGTAGGAGATCCTTAGCCGGCAGACACCCCTGGAGAGGCTGTGGGGCTAAAGGACAGTGTGGGGGCAAAGGTGAGGCAGGGGAAGTACTTGCTCAGAATGGGTCTGGAAGGGACTTGAACAAAGAGAAGCCAGGGGGAAGGGGAGAGGGTAAAGAGATGACCACTCATCAGCCAAGAGCACAGTTGGAGCTTTTCTGTTTGAAACTGCACATTTTTTCACGTTTCCTTAGAGGAAGCAATTGCTGGCCATCACCTGCAGCCAGGGTTATGTTACTGAGTAGAAGACCCCACTGCTCAGGCCTCTGAATTCCTCCCCTCTACAGTGAAGGGGCTCCTGGCCCAGCCTCCTGCTCCCCGTGGTCATTCCACAATACTGATAGTACACCCAGCAGATCTTGGGGAAATACCAGGGTTTATCCTAAATGCTTGGAAGGGGAAACCCAATAATGACTCAGAGGCAAAGACAAGTGAACTTTTCTCTGTGGAGCAGTTCAAATGGAGAGATCACTCAATGTTGCTAACTGGTCTGTAGGACGTTTTGCAAAACAACTCTGCTTCATTTTTTAATCTGGCATACACAGATTTATGGACTAAAATGGTACTTTTCAACCCGTTAGTGGGTTGTGAAATCACATAAATTTAGCCAATATTTTTTAATGAAACAGGATAACTCAAACAGCATAAAATAGAAAACGTTAGAGTACACTGTTGGTAATAAAAATAAATATTTTATGAAGGTTGTTTCCATTTTATACACACATATGCCTCACTAATCTCCTTGGTTCCTGAGAAATAATACATATAGCAAGGATCCTATATAAATACGCTTCAACTGGGTTGCCATATAAATGTATTTTTTTAAATTGTGTATCAGGTTGGCAGGGAGGTAGAGATTGAAAGTCATTAGCCTAAAGAAACTATAGTTAAGTGGAATGGAATTTTTTAAAAAACTGATTCCAATTAATGGAACACACTTTTCTTTTGTCCTAATTATCTTTCATTTGGTTTCCCTTAACTTGGTTGTGGGGGAATACGTCTAGTTTTGCTACAAATATTCTTTCAGTCAGGTACACAGACAGAAACAAAAGATGGGAAATAATAGAAAAGCAGAACATGCGTTTGGATGTGCAGGGCTCCACAGAGCAGGCCAGGCCAAATTCTGTCCCTCTATGTGGCAAACCACAAGGCAGAATCTGACCAGAGGCAGGCTCGCTTCTCCCTGGGAAAAGCCTTTAAAATGCCAGCATCTCAAGTTACTGAGCAAAGGACCACCAGCTCTGTAGGATATGAAGCCCTGAATGGGATCAGGGCCAATTCATATTTTTAAGTAGATGAATTTGTTGGTGTAGCATGACTTTTGCAAACTTTTTGACAAACTCAATAAACAAAGCAATATTTTCATGTGATGTGATGTTTAAAAACTTACTTTCCCTGATATTCTTAAGTAATCCCTGTCACTCCCACTCCCATTCCTCACCCCCATCCAGCAAAAACAGAAAAACAAAAATAGATCACATCTGTCCTGGTCCGAAAGGCACCATGCACATCAGTACTGTCAGCGTCATCCAATGGCTTTAAGTGTTCTCAGCTGTGGGAATTCAGCTCCCTGAAATTCCCAGACACCTCCTCTGGTGTGTTGCCCTGATGGTCACATGTCCAATCTTCTCTAATTCAGACATCACTAGTTAACAGTCGATAATTGTAAAAGAGGAACACTTCTCACAAATTATCTTCATCAAGTGAGGATTGTCTACACCCTGGAACTAACCACAATGGCACCTCACAGCCCCAAAGGCATTGTTTCTTAGCACCTAATGACAACTAATGACTTAAATTTTTGGTCTTAGGAGTCACCAGTGGTGGGCAAAAGAGAGCAAAGACTTGAAACTCAGGGACTGAGTTTGTGCAGGAAGGAAGAGGACTTTTGTCAGTCAGTACATACAATTTTGTTACATTCTTTGACTTTATACATTCTTAGTAATTGCATCTGTAACATACTTTTGTCAGTCAGTACATACAATTTTGTTGCATTCTTTGACTTTATACATTCTTAGTAATTGCATCTGTAACACTAATTGTTCTGTTTTATGTTTATTTGGTTGAAAAAAAATAACTTTGATCATGAAGTCATAATATTTCTCATAGTCCCAACCAAATGGTATTAGCATGGAACTCACCAATACTGCCATCTACAGAGAGTTTACTTAATACATATGACTACTGAAAACTAGCAAAGGTAAGGATTTTTACCTTTTTTCTCAAAATATTTTAAATCTGTGATTTTCAAGGTAATCAAATTTTACTGCAAAATATAACACCAAGCTTTAAAAAAATAATTTCAAATTCCTTAGGTTTTTTCTATGAAACCTACAATCCCATATATATGTACAATTACCAGTTTATTTTTTTCTAACCACTTTCCCATTCCTCAAATTAAAGAAATTTCTTGAGTTTCCCGATGGCAAAGCTTATTCATAAAGATAATGTGTGCTGATAAGTCAGAGCCAAGTAGAGGCATCTGGGGTAAGTATTACTCAGAAAGCAGTTAGATTTGGTGGTGGGACAGTCCCTGCAGTGCCATCAGGCACTTCCTCTACTAGGTGGCAGTTTTAAAACACCAAGTAAACAATTTTAAGTAGATTATCTCTTTAATCAGAAGTTTACAGCGGTAGGCATTTCATTTTCAACATACTAGTGATGCATATAACAGCAGATCTTTAGATGAACATTGAACACTTGATCAAAACAGGATATTTATGTGTACATTATTCAATGCTGAAATATTCTGGAATATTTTTGAACACTGATAAGCGACTAAATTTTCATTCAGAAGTTTTGCCTTTCTTACAAACCTTCTGTACTCCCAGAGCCACTAAAAGTAGTGGCAAATTGGAGGGGTGGTGACCTTCCACCTTCCACCTACCTACCAACATCCAGCACCCTGCACTGTGGTCTCCAGAGGCATAAAAAAGAAATTGGCTGTTAGCTAAACTCTTTCCAGCAAAAAAGAAAAAGAATGGAAAATGAAATGGCAAATAAGTATTAAGTACAGAATAGTCAATTTGTTGGCAGTTGAAATTACATTTTCAGATCCCCTGTCATAACTGTCCTAGATCAAAATTTTTTGGAAAGAAGCCCCCTTACCACTGGGTAACAGAAACGAAAAAAGGAAATGGAAAGGAAGGGAAAGAAAACATAATTTTCAATGGATGAAAAGCTGAGAACCTACGACATTACCCACATGGCAAAACCACTACCTGTCTGACTCTTCAGAGGAGGGATGAGGGACATTTCTGCCACCTGGGATGGCTTTTTGCATAGATAATTTAAATAAATCACTCCAGCATTAAAGAAGAGCAGCTTCTAATTACCACTGCCTGGACCCCATGTGCTGTTTTCTTAAAGCTACACTAGTTCATTATTCTGCCTTTAACTCTCTTAAATGATTCATCCCCACTCCCACCCCCACTTCATTCCTGTGCAGACTCTGCAGGGAAGCTAGTATTTAAGTTTGATTTCTAGTGCCACTTGCTCTGGAGAGCATAGTGAGGGGAAGGAGGAAGAATCTAATTTAATAATTCTGTCATGATTTGGAGGAGCACCCTCCACCCCGACCCCCCAAAACTAGACTGGAACCTCTGGCAAGCTATAAGCGTGAGCAAAGACACCAACTGGGAAGCAGGGCCCACGTGCGGTGGGCGCTGCACCCCAGGAAAGCGGCGGCCGGCGAGGAGAGGGGAGCGCACCGGAGCAGCGGCCCGGCCTGGGCGCTCCGCGGAGACCCCGCTCTCACTTGAATAGTGCTTAGCTCTCTCCCGGACACCAGGCTGGGGGAGGTCCAGGGGCCAGAGGCCGGCGCCCGCCTCTCGGGAGCTGTCCCCGTGAGAGGGGCAGCCCGCCGTACCGCCGAAGGCTTCCCCGGGAGCCCGAGCCCGCGCGCAGGGCGCCGGCGTCACCAGGTCCGGGGCACCCCGTGTGCCCCGGCCGCCGTCCCCGCCTTACCGTCCCAGCTCCGACTCCACTTCGAAG